TCTGTCTCGGCAATGTTACCACTGAAGATGGCTGGAGCAGCTTTCATGTTGCCATCGGTAGTCCACTAGCGGCTTACATGTAGAGATCGTAGGGCTTTCATTCGGACAAGCAATATGGTTTAACGATATCATCTCTGAGGAGACAGGATGAAGAAGGAAAACGATTGGATGACTGATGAGATTCTCGACATGATGGAAAGAAGACAGAAAACTCGGCCAAGATACGGAACGGAGTACAGAAAATTACACAATGAAATAAGGAGAAAATGCAGGCAAGCTAAAGAAAAATGGCCAAACGAAAAATGCGCAGAAATAGAAAGATTGAGTACTACCAACAAAAGAGACATGCACAAATACATAAGACAACTAACAGGACAGAAGACATGTTCGTCAACAGGCTGCTTAAAATCAAAGGATAGAATACTCGTATTAGACAACGAAAAATTGGGAGCGAGTATAGACAAACGAAAGGGAAACAACCAGAGAAATTGACATGAATTTTGAAAAAAAGTATGGTCAAATTGAACAGAAACAAAAGGAACAGACGGAATTAGACAGCGAAAAATGCTGACAGCCAGGACAAGATCAAGAAAAACAAAAGAAATTCGGGGATATCGAAACTTAGCAGATCTATCTTTGCCAAAGAAACCAGGCGCAAAAATGCGAAAAATAAAATCGTCCGTATTATGTTGAATAGAACGCGAAGCAGAAACAGAGATAGGACAAAAAGTGCGGTTTAAAGACACGGGAACAAAGAAGATATTCAAATTATGACATGTACCTATGTTTCATAGACACAAAGGCGTTTCGACAAAATACGCCACAAAGATCTGATGGAACAGCAACCTTGATATATTTGGGAGGAATTGAATAATCATGAACCTATACTGGTAGAAATAAACGAGTTCAGTGAATACAAAATAGAAAGGGTGTAAGGCAAGGGGATGCACCGACGTTCAAGTATATACAAATTGAGAGAATTGAAAAACAAATAAATCCAACAACACTGGTCATGATAGCAGACATGAAAAGAAACAAAAATTACAGAAGGTAGCGACGAAGAGCAGAAAGGGCCATAAACTACGGAATAAAAGGAAGAGCCTCCTGAAATGAATTTGCAGGTTGGGGAAAAAGAAATCCAGGCAGAAGTTTAAAATCGAATTTTGCTGAGACTCCAACGAAAACAAATGGAAGTATTGAGATAGGGAAGATTTGTAACAAAGGGGATATGACACTCCTTTACGGCAAACTGGACAGTTTCCTCAAAGATGAAAAGAGACCTCAGGCGATGGAGATTTTTCTACAGAAGGATGCTAGGGGATACCATCATGAGCAACGATGAGGTCTTCAAAGAATTTACAAACAAGGAGAAGGCTTATACTTAAAAGCAGAATGGGATACATAATGAGAAAGGAGAGGTCTGGAGAATCTGAATAGAAGAGACACAAGGGAAAAGAGATGAGCCAAAACGCGGTATGGGGGGGAAGAAAACTTGTTGAGATCAAGGGGTTAAATTACGTTGAATAAAAAAACAAGTTTAAAATATATAACGATAAAAGAAGAATCAGAGAATCATGGTTTTTGTATTTCTCAGAAAGATAGGTTTTTTCACAAAGAAAGGCCCGGACAAATTAAAATCTGATTCAGTCTTATCAAAGGTGAAATGAAAGTTATCCTGAACGGCCATTTTCTGGATCAAACAAATGCTTTCTTCCCCCATTCAATCCTTGGTCCATCTTTGCTTTTAATATTAACGCTCCAGAGTGGAATTATCCTCAGCTGTTCGTATACAGACAAACCATTTAAAGAATTGATACCTATACAAGCTCCCTGATAAAGGAAGATATCAAATGGCCCTCCAAAACTAAAATACTAGCTTTTTATCAAATGGCTGAGTCAAGGAGGACACGTTACATCAGGAATATATTAAATAAAATCAGATAAAGAAAGTTTTGCAAAATCTGATGAAATATTTTAAACTTTCCAGAATATCTGTTAAAAAATTTTCCCACGCACGCATGGAGATTCCCTTTTATAAGGATTATTAGAGCATCACCTAATCAACTCGAACATTGTTCAACCTATACTGCGGAATAACAGAGAAACAAGTTCAGTGAATATCACGGTCAAATAGAAAGGGGCGTAAGGCAAGGATGCAGTTTCTCACTCGACGTCTGTGATTGTGGGTTTTACAGAGAGGTAATTCTGAGAGAATTAGAGATCCCTAAGATTAAGGAACAATTCTTTTCTGCACTTTCTTGGAACACCCCTTGGCGGTCACAATCCAGGACAAGAATTAAAGAAAGGTCAAAGCCATTAGTTTGGAAGTTCTAGACCTTTGATTATTGGCGGTTTTCTTCATCTCCTCCGATGGTGATGCTGAACTGAACCATCTCTGGTCCCTCTCTTTCCGAAACTTTTATCCTAAATGGACAATGATTTCTTCTATCATCCAATGCAACTTATCCTGTTCTGTTGAAAGACTGGACCTTTCTTTCCAGAACGGAACTTTGCTAAAAATTCTTGGTTGTCAATCTGACTATTTGGAAAATATCTTCCTGCCTGATCTCTCTTTTTTCCACTGAACAGAAATTAAAGAGGCAATCATTATGTGACAATAGTTTCTTCTATCATTCCCAAACTAGATCACCCACATGAACTTGCCTGATCTCTTTCGACGGTATCAATAGCTTGCATCATTTCTTGTATAAGAAAAATGTGCTCCTGAATTGGTTCCTGTTTTCTCCAACCTTTACAATAAATACCTCCCTACTTTGAGATTTCCAGCCTGCTGGAAATACTCCTCTGTATTTCTTGTCTTTGGGGAAAACATTTGACCCATCGATATTACTGCAGGCCTCCCCTAGAGCTCTATTCTCTGACCTACGCTGATATCACCAGTTCCCAGATGCAGGTGACATAACTGTTTACTCCTGTTTTAGTAAGCAAATCTGACAAACCAGACAAAACAAAATTGGCAACTCCTCTCGAAAAAGGACCTCCAATAAGTGGCTATCTGGGATAAGGAATGGCTAGGAAACTTTGATCTTCAGAAATTTAAATGCAATGTAAATCATTATCGACTGTTTTCTTGATTACTCTTCTCCTATTGTCCTTGCTCCTTAATAATATTTCTGTTTTTCTTATTCTTTCACACACAGTAACGCCTTTGCGTCTTAGTGTCTTTACTGCCTTGCTTGGGGTGAAATAATAAAAAAAAATGTATTCTTTGTGTTTGCCGCTGCCTACTTCTTGCATTATTGTGTCAATCCTCCCGCCTTTTCTTGAATCGTCTGTAAAATTCCAAAATACTCGATTTCTTCATAGCAAGTTCACAAATTGTAATATTAATAATTTCCTTATAAGGAAACATTTGATTATCATTAGCCGATTTCTAAGAAAGAAGGTAGAAGTCGAGAAATAGTTTAAAATGAATATAGGTCTACATGCTATATATATATATATATATATATATATATATATATATATATATATATATATATGTCTATGTATGTATATATATAGAGAGAGAGAAATAGATAGATAGATAGATAGATAGATAGATAGATAGATAGATAGTATTATGCAAAAATCTTCTTCCACCCTTCATTTCTTTATATTTTATTGCCATGGGACCGGATTTCCTTGTTAATATTTAAATTGGTCTCAAGCAATATTTCTTCAGGCTTTCTGGTCTATTTTTCTTTGGTCATTGGCTTCTTTGTTACTTAATTTTAGTTCAGTCCTTCTCTTTGACCATTTTTAGATGAATGTTATTCATTTATTTTTGTTTACATTTTTGTTAAGCCACATTACACTGACCTATGAATCATTCATGCAGAAAAAGGCACCCAACACAAGGTATGAATCAATGCAGCGTCGACACATAAGAAAAAAAAAACTTTCAAAAGCAATTTT